ACAAGCAAACCTGGCAAAACTTTGGGATATCTTAGCTGTTTATGCCTGGTTCGATAAAGATGTTGGTTATTGTCAAGGTATTACCTGCAATGCGCTTTTCTGCATCTTTGGTTTTTCCAATGGATTTCATTTTTTTCAGTTTATGTAATTCTTTGTGCTGAGTTTTGAGCTTAAATATGGCAAGCAGGAATGAGCGACCTTTGCTCTCCCATGATAATTCTTCTTCCTGATGATGAGGGAGATGCATTTTGGTGCTTTCAGCACTTGATGCGTAGACTGGTAGGTATACTTTCATATTTTTACAAAGGTTTATCACTGTTTTAACTCCAATGCATTTGTTGACGTATTTCTCTATGAAGTTAAAATATTCAAAAAAAACTCATATGCTACCATTAGAAACTTCTTGATAATCTCAAACTTGTTTCACGGGTTATACAATAACTTTCTGTCTTATCCTTTTTGTGGGTCTTTTTGGTTGTTTAACTACTTAGGGCCTGTTTACTAACACAGATATTTTCCAGTTTTCTAGAAAACTATGAAAAAGGAAAACAGAAAACGTGTTTACGAAAGAAAATTGCCAAAAAAAATGGCACCGATTAAAAAAACTTAATGTTCTTAGTTATTTAGCCACAAGAACTGCTGATAAATAAATTTTCACCAAAGGTTCAACAAAGGTTCCATGTGCCATAAAATAAATTTACAAAAAGAAAGAAAGAAAGAAAGGATGAAAGGAGTATCACCGTTTCGCCAATTGGAATTATCTGCTATTTACCACTTCATTTTATGAAACTGTGCCATTGTTGTTCTTAGTTATTTAGCCACAAGAAATGTTATTGATCCAAATATATTCTCTATATGAGTTTCTTGTTGTCATTATAGATAAACACAGCCTTTAGTCGCTAATGTATCTGCTTGTGTGGAATTGTGAAGAGACGAAACTTCAAATGCACCGAGACCTCTATTGGAGTAGAAGTGCAGCTTACTAATTTGGCCTCAGTAACCCAAGTTATTGATCCTAAACTCCATAAACACTTAGGTACGCATTTTTTAAAAATAAATTTGTCACATTAGACAACTTGGTTATTATTGAATCATTGATAACTTCCATTACTTGTATATGGAGTGTCACTCTACCTTTATAGCATATGAGTTATCATTGAATCATTGACAACTTGGTTATCATTGAATCATTGATAACTTCCATTACTTGGTTATCCAAAATGCATTTGTTGACGTATTTCTCTATGAATCATTGATAACTTCCATTACTATGGACTTGTATTCGATGAGTTGAAGTTTCTTACTGCATAAAGCTGAGAGAACTAGTCACTTTATATTTTCTGTTTGCAGAGACCATAGGTGGAGGTGATTATCTCTTTGCCTTCAGAATGCTAATGGTTTTGTTCCGTCGTGAATTCTCTTTTGGTGACTTGTTGTTTCTATGGGAGGTAACACTGAATTTTCATCCGTAGTGGATCTGTTGATGTTATTTTTTAAAGTACTTGAATGTTGTTGCTGTTGTTACCCATACGATTATTATTATTATTATTATTGAGTACTATTATTATTATTTCCTTATGAAGTACTGTTTTTTATTTGATCTGCTGATTGTATGAATAGATGATGTGGGCTCTAGAGTATGACCCAACATTGTGTTTGGTGAATGAAGACCCTGCTGCTTCAGCTGATGAAATATCTGAAGGATCAAACGGGAAAGTAAAGGCAAGAAGTGAGTATGGGAAATATGAGAGAGCTTACATAAACACAGGGAAAAAGGTGGTGGATCCTCTCCCCTTCTCCGTTTTTCTTGTAGCCAGTGTCCTTAAAGAAAAAAGTCCCAAGTTGTTGGCCGAGGCTCGAGGGCTAGATGACGTTGTAAAGGTAGTTAGCAGCTTCCTCATCTTATTATTATTTTTAAATAAATAAATGGAAATCCATTGCATAGTAGCCTGCGTTAAAGATAAACTCATATATATAAGGCGTTGAACTATTTCTCCCATTATGTTGACTTTATAAGTTATAACTTCAAGTCTTAATATGGTATCTATTAAATTCAAAATGAGGAATCGATCAAAACTGAGACTCAAAATAGCACACCTTCTCTGCATCAACGAACCACGAAAGCATGTTAAGCCAACTCATACCAACAAAATATAAAATACAAAATAACATATAAGATCTTGAGGTACCACTCCTATTAAAATGACTTTTTAGAATGGAACTCTAATCTTAATAGCTAGTTAATTGTTTCTAATTGGTTTTTATTTACCTCCTGCTATGTATATATCTTTATACAAGGGTCCTAGCTAATTTATATCTCTCTATCATTTTCAGATATTAAATGACATAACAGGCAGCCTAGATGCAAGAAAGGCATGCTCTGGCGCACTGAAACTTCACAAGAAATACCTTAAAAGGGTGAAGTAGCAGAGCATATAGGATCTAATGAACTATGGCTACTTGAAGAAGCTAATAATGCTGCAAATCTGTAGTGACAAGATGCCAATATATGTGTGTGCCTGCTGTCTGGAATTGTGTTCCGTGCCTGAAGAAGTTCTTTTCTCGCTTTGCTCTAGTAGCAAGCGGTTTGAATGCAGCACAACCTAACACGAGATACTTAGGGTCACCCTAAAGTGTATATTTTGATACAAATTTTAGGCAATACAAATATGTGTGTATGGTATTCCTCGGTAGAGCTTTGTAGTACACAAATGCGGTTGTTTGTGAAAGATTGATTTCCATGTACTAACTTAAACATTCCTCATTAATATAGTCTGTTGAAATGTGACTGTAAATCTTTTAGTTTTACGTTGCCCTGTCCCTTTTTCCGAGTATTTTTCATTTTTACTTTCAAGTTATCTAGACTTAGTTAATTTTATGAGATCCAGGGATTTAAGTAAGGGCCGGAACCAGCCACGTACTACTTCGGTCAAACCATGGTAAGGTTTGAAGTGTATAAGGTAATCTCTATATTTCATATTAATAGTTGCATGAAACTAAAGCAAATGTATTGTGACTAAGGTGCTGTTCTGTTCGTCTTATTCTTATTACTTATTACTTATTCTTATTTTATTCAGATCAGATCAGATCAGATTAGAAAAATTCAGATCAGATCAGATCAGATCAGAAAGATTCAGATCAGATCAGATCAGATCAGAAAGATTCAGATCAGATCAGAAAGATTCAGATCAGATCAGAAAGATTCAGATCAGATCAGACCAGATCAGAAACATTCAGATCAGATCAGATCAGATCAGAAAGATTCAGATCAGAAAAGTTCAAACATGATTTATCACTTTTATTATTATATTAATTATTATTATTAATATTGTTATTACTATTATGATTATTATTATATAATTATTATTAATAATATTAATAATAATATGATAAAAAAAATAAGATATTAATATAGTTATAATATTTTAATATAATAATAGTAATATAAATGCAATTATTAAGAAGACTATTATTATTATTACAATATTTAATAATAATAATATGATTAATATTATTATAATATTATATTATAATTATATGTAATTATAATTATACTTACAATTATAATTCTTATAATTATAAGTATATCAATTGTAATTATTATAATTATATCTATAATTAATTATAATTATAATTATAATTAATAATAATTATAATAATTATAATTACAATCATAATTATAATTATGATTATAATTATAATTATAATATAATATTATCATAATATAATACTAATTATATTATTATTATTATTATGTTATTGTAATAATAATATTAATATAATAATATCTTTATAATAATATTAATTGTATTTATATTACTATTATTATATTATAATATTATAATTAATGTTAATATAATTATAATTATTATTAATTATAATTATACTTATAATTATATTATAGTTATAATTTATGATTATAATTATTATTTTTATTATCATTATTAATATTATTATTATTATTATTGTTACTATTGTAATTATTTTACGGAGTAATTATAATAATATTGATAACTATAGTTACAATTATAGAGATAAATATTGTAATTATAATTACAATTATAATTATATAAGTAATTATAATTAAAAATATAATTACAATTATAATTATATCTATATTTATAATTAGTGTAATATGTATACATTTTTTCATTTTAAATTTAATTTTAATTATTATTATTATTTTTATAGTTACGATTATAATTATAATTTTATTTAAGTTATATTTGTAATTGCAATTATAATAATTATAATTATAATTATAATCATAGAAATATTCAAATCAGATCAGATCAGAAAGATTCAGATCAGATCAGAAGGATTCAGATCAGATCAGAAACATTCAGATCAGATCAGACCAGATCAGAAACATTCAGATCAGATCAGGAAGATTCAGATCTGATCAGATCAGATCAGATCAGAAAGATTCAGATCAGATCAGATCAGATCAGATCAGAAAAATTCAGATCAGATCAGATCATAACTTAAAAAATTCAGATCAGAAACATTCACATCAGGCGAAGAGAACAGCTTCTAAATGCAACTAAGCTCCTCCCTATTTCCAAACTTAGCTTGAACTAGATCATAATCGTGCGAGTTGGCTCACCATTTTGTTTCAGCTGATGGATTTGGCTATATGTCATATCTTATGATGCCAAATGTGTTGGTTGGTGTTCCTTATGATTTAGCAATTGGATGTATGTGAGGTAGTATTTCTTGATAAGATTAATCATTTGAACAATATGGAGACTGATGATAGAGAATCTATTGGTGGTTAACAATGCATATTATATTATTATGAAAAACTACGGGGGTGTTTGGTTACTGGCCTATCAGCCGTTTTTTGGCTGATTTGACTGATATTGACTTTTTGACCGGATCAAACAGCCAATAAGTGTGTTTGGTAAAATAGCTTTTTCACTTGGCCTATTGTCTCAAACAGCCAAATAGAAAACGCCACAAAATCTAGCGTTTAGGTATCGGCGTTTCAGTTTCGGCTGTATAATTCCAACGATACCCTGCGTCTCTTCTCTTCTCACCATGCGTCTCTTCTCATCTTATTCGCATCAAGCTTCTCTTCAGAGGAAAAGTGCTCGCAGGTTCACTCCTCCTACGGTATGTCCAAGCTACTGTTGTGACTTTATTTCCATGAGTATATTCACATATCTTTTGCTTGCTTTTCTCTTATGAAATAATTGTTTTAAGGATCATCTTGTCTTAAGGGTATATGCCTGGCTTGGATTTGAATTTACCATGTAATAGTGTAGTACCATTGTCTTAAGTCTTAACCATTTTTTTTTTGCTAGAGAAATTAGAGAATTTTAATAAATATAGGAAAAGTCTTGAAGGATATATAAGTATGTGAGTTATATCATGAATTATGTGAGTTGGTGTAATTTGATGTACGTGTTCGTTGCCACACCAAAGATGTGTTTGAAATCATTGCCGTATGTCAAAGGAAAATTCTTAAAGCCGTAACATCAATCTAGTATTTTTTCCCTAGAACAATGCCAATGATTACTAAAATCATTGCCACACCAAAGATGTGTTTGAGGGTCTTCATACGAGAAGATGCAGTTGAATCCGCCTTAGGAGTTTGTGATTATGAAGATATTGCTTGATCCGTAGAATAATTTGTACTACTCTTCTGAAATGTTCCAGTTGAGATTAGTAATCCAAAAAAAAAGGAAAAGTCTTGAAGGATCTAGGAACATAAGGTTAAGGTGAGAATAATATGATAAGAATGTAGGTTTTGAGAATAGTGTCAATAGTCTATGATACGTACGTACAGTACATAAATGTGTCATACGTATGTATATATATATATATATATATATATATATATATGAGAGCTCTTCTCATCAGGCCGGCCTGACGGGCTGCCCCGTCCGGCCGAGCCCGTTTGGGCACCTTCCCGGTGGAATTTTTTGATGAAATTTTTTGAGCATGTTCCTCATCAAGTCTAGTTTGTCCATACCAAATGTCAGCTCAAAATTCAATCGGGAAGGTCGTCAAATTATTTTTGCAAGTTAACTGGTCCGGAAAATACATATTCCGGACCAGTTAACTTGCAAAAATCATTTGACGACCTTCCCGATCGAATTTTGAGCTGAAATTTGGTATGGACAAACTAGACTTGATGAGGAACATGCTCAAAAAATTTCATCAAAAAATTCCACCGGGAAGGTGCCCAAACGGGCTCGGCCGGACGGGGCAGCCCGTCAGGCCGGCCTGATGAGATGATTTCTCTATATATATATATATATATATATATATATATATATATATATATATATATATATATATATATATATATATATATATAACTTAAATTGATGTCCTTAAAGATCATTTGACAAATTATCAGCTGATTGTAAACGGTCTTCTTAATCAAACATCATTTTACAAACTGCTAATAATATCAGCTAATCAAAACAGCCAACATAAACTGCTATCATAAAACAGCTAACACAATCAGTCAACAACCAACAGCCAACAGTCAATTGCCAAACACCCCTATACCAGTTGTAGCCTGTAGGTTGTCGGGTACTCTGGTTCAATTCAATAGACTGTAGCTAGTTAAAATTATTAGTGCTCAATACTTTCAAAGCAAACTTGTGTTTATAGCTTCACTTTCATGGTGTCCACTATCCATTTATTCCTTTAAACTTACATGTTATTTGTTCAAGTAAATATAAAAAATCCCAATAGAGAATTAGAGATATATATGTACTCCGTCCGTCCCAAAAAATTGTTTCCGGTTTCCTTTTTGAGCCGTCCCAAAAAAATTGTTCCACTTTCCTCTTTTGGAAAGTTTTGTGTGGCTCACATTCATTTACCTTTTTCTTACACAACCACAACCACACATTTTCACTTTATTCCCACTTTCTTAAACTCCGATCCAAGTCAATGCGGGAACAATTTTATGGGACGGGGGAGTATTTCATTTAAGATACATTTGACACGTTAATTGAAGTCTGTCGCCTTTGAAGTTTGAATGTGTCGACTAGTAATGATTAAAGAGAGTAATATATTCGCTGGTGCTCTTGTTTTATAAGATCATACAACGTAAAGATCTTTTCACTTTCCTTTTTTGAATTGTTACTAAATTATCTTCTCATTTCTAAATCTTTCCATCATATCATCAATAATTTTTAAAAACAATATACTATTACATCAACTTTTTTGGATTTATCCTTCATTCCATCACACTATTTCATTATCTTCTCATCATATCCTCAATAATTTATATTTGCTTTCACTATTCATAATCTCATCCAAGGTTAAAGTTGGAAGATCTCAACGCTACGGAAATAGTATTTGATAGAATGCATTTAGTGTGCAAGGCAGGGTGCCTAGCTAGCCAGCTAGGTACGGATATAATAGGAAAAATCGTCCTAAAACAATCACATAAATCTCAAATAAGTCATTGTACTATTGTCAAAAAATCTTCTAAGCCCATGTACTAAAAAACTCATCTCATAAATGCTTTTACTAGTGAAAAACAATCAAATAGATCAAGCCACCTGAAAACAACCTCCTATAACAGGTTATTGCATTTTAGCTTTTCTTTTTTCTCCTTTTTCTTCTCTTGCTGCACAACACCTTGAGTTCTTATTTGCCGGTTTCGTTTTTCATTTTTTTGCTTCAATCTCAATCTAAAGCCTTTGTTCTCGACTTCTCGCTGCCCGCTTTTATTATCTTTATTTTTCATTTTCTTCATTTCTAATTATTTGTAACGATTTGTATTTTCTCCAAGTTTGCAACAATTTGTATTTTTAGTTTTGTCTTCTTTCTTCCCTTGTTTTTTGTTGTCTTTCCCAAAAAAATATTATTTTTTACATTCATTTCTAATGATTTCAATAAATTATATTGAATCATAAATACTACGTATGTTCATTCTTGGAAAAAATAAAATCCAATTGTTAATAAAAGATTCTTTTATTTGAGCAAAATTACACTTTTAGTCCCTCAATTATTATTTATATTGAAATGAAATGTTACTCTACAGAATTGTCTGTGGACAGATAATAGTTTGTACGTGAGACAGACGAGTGTACGAAATATGTATACCAAAATGTGTACACCAAACATTTTCATTGAACTAACACCGTTAAGTATTTGCAATTTTGTTACAGTTGAGATTGTAACTTAAATACGGTAAAAATTATACATTTTTCATACACATTTTTAGTATTCTTCTCTCCTACAATATTTATATATCATCAAACTCTAATTAAGGTTAGGCCACACGAAAAAAAATGTCAGTCATAAAATTCAAATTTTATAGATAATAATAGTGTGACACACACAAAAATGTCACATTGTATACTTTTTGTTTAATTTAAACAAACTCATATTTACATTTTTAACTGGTAAAAGCAGATTTTTCAAATATTTTGTATGTATGCTCTAACATAACAAACAGAAATTATTGGTACAAATGATTTTGTAAAATTACATTTTTTCTACCGATATTTTTATCTATTGTCTAACTTTAGTGTAATATGGTACTACGTATGGTGTATTTAAGCCTGACGCATCGTCTTGTTGGGATTGAAACTTGAAAATAGTTTAATTCCAATAAGGAAGAAGAGATAGAAAAGGCTAAAAATAAATAAAAACAAAAATGGAAATGAGAAATAAAAGAGAAATAAATATGAAATAAAAAATAAAGGAGAAAATACAAAATGAAAGTGACAATGAAGATAAAGAAAAAAAGGAAAAAGTTACTACGTAGGATGTGGGTAGGAAAGGACGAAAACGGTTGGAAGCGTGTGAAGTAAGGAAAATGAAAAACAAAATGTGGATGACCGGATGTTACAGGTTGTTAGTAGGTCACTTGGCCTAATCGAGGGATTTTTTATAGTAAGTGTGCCAATGTGATGCTTTTTTTTTAGTAGATGGGCTTATGTGATGATTTTGTAATAGTAAGAGGGTTTATTTGACCCTTTTTCCAATATAATATTGGGAAAATGGAAACTGATAATACAACCTTTTAGCGGTCTTCTTTCAATAATCTCACATTTTGATTATTCATGAATAATCCAATCTTTGCACCTCATCTTCATTCACTGGTCCCTGATCGGTTAATGACCTACTATTCCAAGTTATTTTCTTATCTTTGCAAAATATTATCTTTGTGAAAGATGAGATTTATTGTATAATGATTTGCAAAGATAAGAAAATAGCTTGGAATAGCAGGTCATCAACCGGTCAGGGACCAGTGAATGAAGATGAGGTGCAAAGGTTGGATTATTCATGAATAACCCAAAGGTTGGATTATTGTAAGAAGACCGCTAAAAGGTTGGATTATTAATTTCCATTTTCCCTATAATATTTGGATCCATACTTTAAGCTTTTGGATGTGTTCTTTAGTTGATGTTCACTTGAAAAAAGATTGTTTTGCTTCCCATTCTCCTTGGAATAATTGTTCATCGGAGTAGAGGGTTCTAATTAATAATATAACTAGTTTAGGAATATTTGTGTATTTTGAGAACTACTACCTCCGTCCCCCTAAGATTGAGACAAGAGAAGGTGACACGGTTATTAATAAAAGTGAGTTTATGTGGTTGATATTGAATTGATAAAGTAAGAATAAAGTAAGAATGATTTAGAACCACACAACTTTTACCAAATAAGGTATGAGACAATCTTAATGGGACGGATCGAAAAGGTAAAATGGGACAATCATAGCGGGACGGAGGGAGTACTTTTTTATTAGATATATATATATATATATATGCCAGGACCACTAAAGGAGTATCCTATTCTATTATTTCACATTGGTATCAAGAGCACAACAAAATCCCTATTTCCTTTTTCAGCCGCCTCTCTTCCCTACGTTCGTCGCTACCATGCACCCCACTTCTTTCACCGCTGCTCAAGCTTCTTCCTCGGCCATGGAGGCATTAGACTCTACTACCACGGCGGCTTCAACAACAACTTCGCCGGTTTCTCTATCTTCAAATACTGGCGTCACATCCCATGTCATGTCACAGCCGGTGTCGTACTCGGTGTCTGCGTCGACCACGACGTCAACATTGTTCTCCGCATTTGGTGTACCTTCTCACATGATGTCTGGTCGGTTCTCTTTGTTTGATAGTCTTACTTTA